GTATTAACAATTATTGAATTGATATTTATGAGGAATACTATTATATAATCGATAATAACTGTATGCTTTGACGTTACATACTAGATTCTGACGTGAAGAATAATTACTTTATTAAATTTACATATTATTTTTATCAAGAATGTTCGACTAGTCAAATTCATCTTAACTGGGCGGTATTAATAATGGAAAATAGTAGAGTAATATTATCTAATTGTTTATTATTAAGAAAAATGAAATTGCTGGTCAAAAAAATCAATCGCAAGAATGAGACTATAGCGATATGTTAAATCTCAACATGAAGCGACTCGTGCCGGTGAAATAACTGTTATCGTTATCAGCACTCCTCATAAAACGAGCCATCAAAGTTCAACGACATTAAAAATAAAATAGCCACTACGTTGCCTACGAGCTCTTTCGGTATCGATCACTGAGATTCCGCGTCGTAAATACATCGCGGGAAACAAACAAAAGTTCGCGGAAGTTTTATGTGCAGACGGGAGCGAAGGTGGAAAGGGTATGGCCGAGGGAAGATGGAAAGAGCGCGGAGGTCTAACTCCTCGTATCCATTTACAAGTTTTAAATCGTTCCGCCGGCGTGCCTTTTGAAAGAAACCTTTTACCTTTATTCTCAATGCACGATAAAATTCTGAAACGCGTTCGCCGGCCGCCGCGCGGCTTTTAAACGTTAACACGCGTTTGCTCGGCACAATGGCGGGGTCGCATTATACTCGAGAATCGGAGGGAGAACAAGCGGTATAGGAAGAAACAAGAGGTTGACTGCGGCGAAGGAATAAAGAGGAATGCTATGCCACAAAGTGGAAGGAAGACGGTAGTGAGAATAGAGCGAACTGTTGTTCACTCAATTTTTTTGCGCAAGACGGAGTAGAGTTATACATACGACAAAAATCTCTCTTCCTATGTTTTCTATTGATGCTCCCTTTTCATCCTATTATACATACCTATTGTGTAATATGATAAATATCTTTGTGCTGATATTAAACTCTTCTAAAGTTGGTGTAATCTCAATTCGTTAAGCCTAGCTCTTATTTTTGCTTATATGTGGATGCCACGCAGGGTCTGTGAAACTTTGTCGAATATTTTGATGTGTAATTTCGGTGTAAATGTTATTAATTCGTCAACAATTATTTTCTATGACAATTTTGAACAATATAGAATAGGAAAATGCATCAAAAGTTAAATTTTATTAATTATATTATATAAAGAATAATTGTTAAAAAAAACATGTTCCTGTGATTTGTGAAATGTACACGTTAATTTTGACAAGATTTTCCAGATCCTTGACTGATGAATTAAAATTAAATATCTTTTTTATGTATATAATTAACTTAGTCGATGAAGTAGGTATTATATAATAGTATCCTACTACATAATAATGCATACATTTTTTACGAAATTTAAATAATTTTATCTACGTCAGCTATCAATATAAATGCTGTGATTATTATTAATTATAATCAATTAAATAATAATTTGATATCACTTCACAATATTATCTACATCTATCTATACTCTGTATAATAATGGAAAGTTCACCAACTTTTCATTTGAGTCCAACATAATACATAAGAGATCACTCTCTTCATAATCGTAAATTATTTTTTTCGCTATAACTTCAAGACTTTTATAAAATCATAAAATATTCCGATTTGCATCCTCGTAAGAAAGACATGCCATAATTTCGCGACGGAGAAACTGCAACGATAATTCCACACCGTTAAAGGACTTATAGGTTATTTAAAGGGCTCTCAGAGCTCCATCCGAAAGGATGGACCACAGCACAGAATGAAAGATATCTCGAGATGCTTTTTCTATTAAAATGGGCACATCTGGCGATGAAAGGTCGGTCAGCTGAGCACGCATTTTTTCCTCGCCTCATTCAACTCTGTGAGGCCGAGCGATCGACCAAAATGGTTACGTTCCTTTGTACGTTGGCTACGGCACTAAAATGGAGTTTTGCGGGGTGACTATGGTCGCCCAGCCACGATAGATAAATTTCCTTATGAAAATTCGGTCGAGAGAGGAACGTCTCACCACTCACAATTTATTAGGTCTTCCGCGGATCGCTGACTATGCTAGCACATTCATCCTATGTTCCGGTCATCCCTCGTCGTTCTCGATGCTATAAAGAAAGCTTGAAGATGATAGTCTTGAAGCGTTCCATCTTTGAGACGATTAAAAAGTACAAGAGACTTTATCTTATTAAAGATATTTTGGAGCTTATATTTATTGGAAAATATATATAATACCAAAAGTAATATTATTTTCTTCTCTCATAATAATTATCACTTCTTTTACTTTCTCTTAAGAATGTTTGGCTATACAATATTAGTTAAAAATATCAATCAAACACAATTAACTAAAATAAGCTAATATCAGCCAATATCATTCAAACAATTTCAATATCCTATAAATATATCCTGAAACAATTGCAAAGAACAAAACAAGAAATAATTTGGCTTACAACTTATAATAGTTTTATATAGCAAAATGTGTGACAGTATTTTTCTACAGTTTTAGGTCAATACGTTTTAAGCGAATAAGTGGATCCCAATAAACCTTTACACGAATATTTATTATTGCTTGATCAGTATATGTTTGGTTTAAATTTGCAAATAAGTATTACAAAATGTAATTTTATATAAGAATGAAGATTAACAAAAAAATTAAATAACGTTTAACCAATAAGAGAATTGTGTTCAAATTTTACACACATATTTAGACGTAATGATGAACGATCTATGAAATTTTTGTATTTTTGATAAAATTTTGAGATGTATGCATTCTTAAAGAGAGATTATTTAATACCTATGCAACACAGTTGAAAAGACGAACGCTATCGAGGAATATCAACGGCAGTCGTCGGTGTGTTACGCTTACGGGAAGAGAATCGTCAAAGTAATAAGAGGAGGGGGGGGGGGGCAAGATAGGGTAGTTAAATGTTACCGGTGTCAGGACATGGCCTTTGTGTTAGGGGAGTGCTTGGGCTCCGTGGAGTTAGCTAGACTGGCAGAGTACTATAAATTACATAAATGAAGTAAGCCCCTTCCGCGCTCAAACGGACGTCTTGCCAAGTTTATAACTTAATCACTCGTGCTATACCCGTAGCAAGAGGAGGAGCTTAGGTGGATGAGAGGATACGAGACGGAACGAAACGGTCGAGATAGGAGTGGGTATGCCGTAGACGGATAGCGTAGTAGAAGATGTAAGAGAGAAAGAATCCGGCAGAGAACAAGCCGAACGATTAATGGTGTCAGCGTTGAATAATTGAATGTGTCACACACATATTGTCTCAACGTTGGCAAGTTTTCTTCCCCAAGTAACGGTTCCGGTCTAGTCGTTCTATTTCGCAATTAATCGTACGATATCTATCGTAAACATGGTTTCCACGATCGATTGTACACTCTAATTAAATTCTTACCTTAAATAAATTTGAACATTCTAATTTTCCGTATAATCTCTGTTATTTGTTGTAAAAAAAAGTATAAAATATGTTTGTCAGTGATATCATTAAAAATTCTTGCACCTGAAACGAGATAAATACATATATATTTAAATGTTGAAAAAAGAGAAAGCGAAGATCATGAGTGCAAAAAGTACAAACAACACCTATGATATTGTTCCTTCTCCCTCAGCTCTCCCGTTTTCGCTTGTTAAGCTCACTATTTCCTGTAGCGAATTCGGTCACTTATCATACATTAAAACATTACACACTGAATATGCTTAAAAGCTGCTATAAGATTAACAAAGTTAAATATGAAAGCATATAAATATTTTAAATAAATATTCAATAATGTCACATTTAATAAAAAATGTATTATTTTATTAGAGCAAAATTGATTATTATACCAAAATAATTAGATACTGTACTTTATTATAAAGCATCTTTTAATGAGTATTAATTTAGCGCAGTACGAATGACGAAATTCACCATTGCTTTTTACAATTAGACTTATTATCTCCTGAACATATAAGTTGTGATATATCATTAAACATCTAAATCTCTTATTTATCAATATTAATTTTGATATTAGAAGAGAGAGATAAGTTATATAAAGAATATAATAATCTTCTTTGCAGTCTTTGACTATACTTCACGCAAACTTTTTCACAGAGCCGGACTAAAATCGCGGATCGCCAGCTTACATTCCTGCCGGTTGACCACCGGATGCATTTAATTACGGTCACCTAACGCAGCTTCGGCAACTGCTTCGGTACGGAAGCACTAAATCGTGGTTATCTTAAGCAACATCGCGCGCTGGATTCGTATAACTCGCGCTTACCGGATATCTCGAGGCTGAATTACTAGCTAGGAGAGAAGCGCCGGCGCGTGGAAAGGGCGAGATTAAAATCGCCCGGAGAGCAATGCAAAGTTTTTAATAACCCTTGATGCTTGATTAAGTTACGGCTCTCTTCACTGGCTCGCTGTCTCTCCTTCCCCGCTGTTCGTCTTCGGTTGAAATAAATTTCGCGGAGATTTCGCTTACAGACCGCGTTTTCGTGCGGTATGAGGGAAGAAGCGAGACTCGTTTACTCCGTCAGCTAAATTAATGGAAATCCGGGATGGTTTCTTATCCTCGCGAATATGCAGCAAAATCGGAGAGCTCTCGCGTCTCTGCCACTACCGGTTACTCTAATTCAAAATTACGTAGACGCATTTATTAATGTAGATTAATTTGATCAAACACGCCAAGTATCATTATACTTATAATAAATAATAACGCAATCCTCATCTTTATATCGTTTTATGTGTCTAATGAGATAGGCATACGATCTATTTTTTATATGAATAACAAATATAATTAAAAATCGTTGCAATTTGTTTTATTAAAACTGCAATATTGGAAAATGTGAGAAATTACAAAATTAAATTCGGAGGAAAAATAATATCATATATTGCTATAGTTGTTCGCTATTTCGATTTATAATATTAAATATAAAAATGTAATAAAAATTTAACAAGAGTCTATTATTTTCTTTCAGGCTTTGGATTTGTCACGTTTCAAAGCGAGGATGTCGTCGACAAAGTCTGTGAGATCCATTTCCACGAAATTAACAACAAAATGGTGAGTAGCCAGCCTGAAGTCTACTTGAACAAACCCCCTCTTCCAAGGGGTATTCTCCCTTTACTTTATATAACCTCAGAGGTCGCGTCAAAAGGTATTTGCCTTCTGTCTGTAATGTTGAGCAGAATTAATTTTCCGTACCATTCGAGAAGGTCTATCTTCGTTATTTATATTTGACACGCATGTAGAATGGTACATGCAGGAGAAATCGTAAACGCGAAAAAGGAAAGAACTGTACACAGTTCTTCTAGTAAGAGAAGTCTTTGTTTACTTTCCGCTACAACGAAAAGCTCTCTCACGACGGTCAAGTATTTTCTTGATGCCACCTCGTATCAATAATCCTGAAGTAAGCTCGCGCTGCGCTGATCCAGCCGATATTCTCTTTAACTCTCTACAGTACATTTAGTTATTTCTTTACGAAATTTTGAGTATAAAAATCGATCTTATTACTTTTAACTACCTGAATGATTAACAGGAATAGTATAAGCAACAAATGATAATAACAGTGTTTTTAATTTCTCTTCTGTCGAGAACAGTTTGTATAGTACATTATCTCCCATACAGCACAGAAGCTTGTATTGTTGCTGCATTGTAATATTGTTGCAGTTGCAATATTGCTGGAATAATTTGTGCTGTAAGGGCTGCTACAATGATGCACAATCAAGATTTCGACAGAGAATCTATCTCTGAGTGTGAAATGTTCGGCACTTGTTGCAATCATGAGTTTCCTTCCAACTCTCGTTCGGTCTGAACGGTTACAGACCTTTCTTACTCTCGTCCCTCTTTCTTTATCTGTTCTATCTAAAATTTCAAGGTCGAATGCAAGAAAGCACAGCCAAAGGAAGTGATGCTCCCAGCGAATCTGGCGAAGACGCGAGCGGCCAGCAGAGGCGCATACGGTGAGTTGGTGATGGTCGCGACACCCACCCCCACCACCTATCGTTACGCGCCGTATCCCTTACCGACGGCGGCCGCTGCTGCTGCACATGCAGCCGCGGCAGCTACCGCCGGGCCTCCTCACCATCACTTGCTGGCTCCGATAGTCGCTACCGCAGCTCCGAGTGCGGCCGCTACTTACCAATATGCGGCCGGTGCAGCCGCGCCGACAGCCGCCGCGGCCGCCACCACCGCGGCGGCGGTTTACGACGTGAAGCGCGCGATCGCGGCAGCGGCCGCGGCCGCGG